CTGGAGCGTACAACGGCCGAAACGTTGTGATAAATATGGCAATAAAGATAAGGATGATAGTCTGAACAATGTAAATAGTAAACCTTTGTGTAATTGTTCGGCACACTCGACAAGAGGTATTAGCAAATATTTGTTAGTTTTTATTAAGGTAAAAAATAATTTATGCTCTGTTTTTTTATTGGTGTTAGATTGATTTTCTTCTTTCCATGCGTGTGTCTGCTTATATGTTTGGGTGTGCATGTGTAGGACGTCGTGGTTATTTCTTTTTCTTTTTTTTTTTTCTTGTCTCCCTATGCACTATGATTTTCTTTTTTATTTATTTGTCAAAAAGACTTGAAATTAGGTTAATATTCCAGAACATTCCGGGGGATCCTAAAATTTTCATAATATAGGTATATTCTGTTTTTGTCGTTTTTTGTTTAAGTATTTTTTTCAAATTAACCCTTAATGACGAAGGAAATATTTTTACATAAGAAAATAAGATTTTTAAGCTAAAATATACGAAAAAATTAACTTGAAAATGAAATTGGAGTCTTTAAGAATATTTATTTTGAGTAAATTGTATAGTCCTATGAGTTTTCAAAAGTTAAAATGAGAAACGCGTGGCTCTGCCATGATATACCTCGTATAGCCACGTCTCCTCATCTCAATTAATGTCTGACAATCATAGAACTGGGAAACCGGTAAAGTTATTCTAAATAGATATTCTTAAAAGAATTTAAATATGTAATATATTTGAAGTTATAAGTGTGATTCTTTTCTGTGAGTAAGCATTCTTTTAACAGTCTTTTTTAAAATAACAATGATTTTTTACAGATACAAATTCTACTATTTAACCATAGTTGGGGGATGAGAGAACTATGTCAAACCTGTTCAGTACATAGATGTGTAACTGTGAGGGAATACCAGTTGTTCTAAGCTTGGATAATGGACCGGAATTCATCGTAGAACCGAGTTACAATCCAAGTTAGGTTCGTTATATTCACTTACACGCAAATACCCTTGAGAAAGGTAGGAATCCATCTCTCCTCCCTCCATCTATGGGTTAATTAGTAAGACTTTTATCACTAAAATATTATTATCTGAAAAAAATTGCGTACAAAATATTTAGATTTGTGTATTAAATAACGCATACTGGTTGATATGCCGCTAAACAAAACCAACCAACATACCTTTCCAATGGTATTTACACGTAAGTGAATGGTGATTTTTTAAGTGTAGCTTAGATTAGATACAAGGTCGAAACTATGGGGCATCCAGTGAGGATCGAACTCGCTACTCAGTCGTAAATGTTCTAGCCAGACAGGCTTGCTATTCATTACACCTCCCGCACATCCCTTCAAACACATGCATTTATAGTTAAACCTAACATCACATATGTGTTTTTAAAGCACAATGGCCTGTGATCGAAAAATATGCTGAACGTCGATATTAATAGCAATATTAATATAAATAGGATATAGCCTCCTAGATGATCTATATGGGCATTAGACCGTAAACTAAGCTTACTAATGAGCGTTAATCTCCAGAGCAGTAAGGTTGCTATACTTGTTACTGGAGTGGTAGAGATGGGGCGTGTAGAAAAGAAGTAAGTGTAGCCTTCGCAGTGAAGGCCACGATAGTCATAAGGCTTGAGGAGCTTCCCCGTGGAATGAAGCGTCGTTTTCTATTCACGAGGCTTCCATTGGGAAATAATTATCATGTAATTTTTGTAAATATATCTGTTCCCACTACACATCCTTTTATCTTACTCTGATATTTCGTCTTAAACATTCTCCTGGACTGATAAGATGCTCGTTCTTGGGGATTTTAATGAAAGGTTTAGAAAGGAATATGAAACATGGAACGTTTTTAGAAAGTGTTATATTCCGTGCTAATAGGAATATATGCTTGAAAAACAAGGTGGGTAAAATAAAGTTTTATTGTAAAAATCAGTACAATAAGAATAAAGGTAACAATTATGCACAAGTTCGTCGCAAGTCAATCCAGTAGTGAGTGCTACTATTGAAAGGTGGGTAGTTCTCGCGTAAGTCAGATTCCAGCTAGAAATATTTACCAACCTCCCCACAGGGTAGGATGTGGCACAAGGCCGAATTTAATGTAGGCTTGGCCAAAAATCCCCCGTAATCCCCGCATAAACGGGTCCTGATCTGTGTACTTCCCGGGACGAGACTCTGCCCTTCGGCATAGACTCGTCCGGGTTCTTCTCTTTCCGAAAGCAGAGAGTTCGACAACATCTAAGAGCTGAGTAACAGATCCCAGCTAGACAATATTTACTAGCCTCCCCGCCCCAAGAGGGTAGATGTGGCACAAGGCAGAGTTTAACGTGAGTTATCCGACGCCCGCTTAAAGCAGTAGGTTGTTTACCTGCCTCGTTCTGCCTACTTTAGTGGATTTCTGAAAATTATAACTGCTAGCTTAATTAGCTAGATCGATAACCATACGCCAAACAAAGGGCAAAAGGGAAAAAACGAATATTTCAATTCTTCGTATTGGAAATGTGCAAACTATATATACTGGTCTATCTGACGACTTTCCTGAAATAAACGACGCTCGCAAGAATGCAGTAATCGAACGCAAGCTATACAAAAGGAAATTTGACATGGTTGATTGTTTGATTTTGTCTAGCAGCATATCCTCACCTGTATGGGTTAATTAATGCCAAAATCTAAATATTTGAGCAGAATTTTATGGTTTCAACTAAATATATTCTGGATGCAACTGTATGTTGGTCACTTTGCTATAAAATGTATTGTTGGTCATTCTACTCTAAAATGTATTGGTGGTCATTTTGCTATAAAATGTATTTTTGGTCATTTTATTATAAATAGTTATTGTTAGTCATTTTACTAAATAAACGTGTATTACTGGTATTTAACTATAAAAATGTATTTTTATACTTTCATAGTGTTTTTCTTTGCGAGTTCAGCAGAGTTCAGCTTTGCGAGGGATGGAAACAACAGCAATTAAGAGCTAGTCCCATGCTTCTCAGAACTTCCAGTCTCCTGATCTGCACGAAAAACTGCAACTGCACAGTGGATCTCTAAAGGAAGAATATTACACCTTCTTCTGTTATGATAGAGATGATGATGGATGAAGAGAAGTTTGATAAATGAGTAGGATTATCTGTCAGGAAGTTCCTGCTCTGTATAATTGACAGGGAAGTTAATTACGGACAAAGACGATGGAACAGGACAATGGCACAGAACTACCTAGAACTTCCATCACCAAAAAAGCTCTTGATGGTATTATGTGTCTGGCATAATGGTATTATCGGTCCTGGAAGAGCTGGACTGTTAACTTACAGAAGAGCTCTTGATACACTAGATTATAAATAAACACCGCATAAATAATGCATACAGTTTATAATCATCAAATACAATTAATCAACTTTACCAGAATCAACCTTCAAATCCTTGTTCAATGAACCTAACCAGAATCCTAGTGTTGATTTAGAACTAATTGATTCTAATTTGACATGATTTTCTCTTTATATCTATTCCAGGAGAAATGTCGTGAACAAAAGATGTCACTATACATCGTCGTCATCGTTCTACCAAAGGCATTTGACCTTTTTCGCAGGAGACTTCTGTTTCAGTTATTAACGAAAATTAACTGCCTCCATAGTTTCTGAGCATAATCATCTCATTTTACAAGAACATACAGAGTGTAGTCAATGTAGTGGAATTTCAAAGCCCTACACAGATATCGTGACCAACCTGATCCTACCTCTCAACCATTTGCTGACTGGAGAAGAGGAAGATTCATACCTTTCTCATTGTGTGTAAGTGAATGTAACAAATACATCTAGCATTTGAAAACAGCTCTCTAACCAAGACTATAGGGCCCACCTTATCATGCTTGTCAACCAATAGATAAGAGTAGGATGCATACCTTTTTCATTGGTATTTGAGTGTGAGTGAATGTAACTAATACATCTGGCATTTGAACTCAGCTCTCCATCCACATCTTTATTTGTGTATATCTATGTGAGATCGGATATATGTGTATCTGTTCATATATGCATTTTATATGTTTACCTGTCTAACAAGCTTATATTTGAAGACCAATTTGTGGAAATTCTTGTACTTCTATCCACAGACACATGCGCTTGGCTACTTCGATGTGATGTAATGGTCAGCACGTTTGATCATTTATGACTGAGTAGTGAGTTCGATCCTCATTGGGTGCTCCACACTTTCAGTTTTATGCCATATCTAAGCTATAGAAAATCATTTAAGGCACTTAGACGTGGTGTATTGGTTAGCAAGTTTGTCTCGCTAAGTCAGTTACGACTGAATAGTGAGTTTGATCCTCACTGGATGCCCCGCACTTTCGGTCTTGTGTCACATTTAAGCCACGCTTAGGAAAATCAGATGTCTGTACCAACTTTCTAACTCTTAACTTTTTTGAGAAAGTATATACGTCTATGTTTATAGAGGATTGCGTGGTCGTTAAGTGCGAAAGATATATGTCATATATATATTTAAGGTAAGATTTAACACATATGAAACAACAACAAAGACAGAAAGAAATCCACGATAGATAGAAAGAAAGAACGTATAAATATAAACCAAATATATTTTTGAGGCCAGTCTTAGCGCATATAATCTATAAGAAAGAAAGAATGGAATAAAGAAAGAAAAGAATGGAAGAAAAGATAGGAAAGTGTAAAGTAAATATATTTGAGGCCAGTTTTAGCACATATAAAGAAAGAAAGAAAGAAAGAAAGAAAGAAAGAAAGAAAGAAAGAAAAGAAAGAAAGAAAGAAAGAAAGAAAAAAAAAAAGAAAAAAAAAAAGACAAGAAAAGAATAAAAAAGAATGGAAAAAATGTGGCACAGTAAAAAGAAAATATATTTGAGGCCAGTTTTAGCACAAAGAAAGAAAGAAAGAAAGAAAGAAAGAAAGAAAGAAAGAAAGAAAAAAAAAAAAAGAAAATAAAAGAAAAGAATGGAAGAAAAGGTGACAAAGTATAAGGCAAATATATTTGAGGCCAGTTTTAGCACATAGAAAGAAAGAAGGAAAGAAAGAAGGAAAGAAAGAAAGAAAGAAAGAAAGAAAGAAAGAAAGAAAGAAAGAAAGAAAGGAAGAAAAGATAGAAAAGTATAAAGCAAATATATCTGAAGCCAGTCTTAGCACATATAAAGAAAGAAAGAAAGAAAGAAAGAAAGAAAGAAAGAAAGAAAGAAAGAAAAAGACAAGAAAAGAAAAGAATGGAAGAAAAGGTGACAAAGTATAAAGAAAATATATTTGAGGCCAGTTTTAGCACAAAGAAAGAAAGAAAGAAAGAAAGAAAGAAAGAAAGAAAGAAAGAAAGAAAAAGAAAGAAAAATACAGCGGCACAGGTAAAATATTCATGTACTTTTATTCCCCCACTTTGTTTAATTTGCAGGGTGGACACGGTAGTAGTCCTCCATCGGTAGAGGATGTGTTTTGTTTTTCCTTCATTATGGTCACACCGGAAATGGCAGAGACATTGCCCAAACTGTAGTTCTAAGATATGAAAACATTCATTCGACCAAGAGCATCCTGCATTTGAAAGAGTTTTTATTACCAAAACGGCGAAGCAATTTGTATTGCTGAAATATTGCCTTAAATCAAATAGTCTAAGTTTGTCTCCAACTATTTTCGCACGTGCCGTTATTAATTAATTCTGTAAAGATGCTTTCTTGCTACGTCAACTGTTATAACTACTACTAAATCTACTATTAAATATTAATACTAAATCTATTATAGCTACTGATACTAGTATTATTAAAACTCATTTTTATATTTTATCTCATACTTGTCTGTGAAGACCTCTTGAGTTCAGTGATATTTATTAGTTAAACTTTATTTTTAGTGGATACCCATATTTGAGTAGACTCCCCGTTCATTTATTGAACAGTATATTTATTTATTTTCTTCTACCAACATGAATATTCGAGAAATCTTATTAAAATAATATGCGTTCTTCGGCATATTTTCCTTTAATAAGATTTCTCGAATATACTGTTTAAAAAATAAACGGGGCGTCTATTCAAATATGGGTATCCACTTAAATAACGTTTAAGCAATAAAATCTATTGGATTAATAAATAAAAACTCTATCACTTCCTTAGACATTAGTTCAGCAAATTTTATCTGATGCATAAATTTCATTTTTTTTTTTATTGATTTGTCTTTTATTGCCTAAGAACATGTGAATTAGATCTATATGTTTATGTATTAATTATATCTCATTTTATATTAATATTTCTTTGAAGAAGAATGTGAGAATAATATGTAATTTTAATTGAATGCTTATGAGAATATTTCTGTCTTAAGTTTAATAGCGATTGTCATGTTGTTATCTTCCACGACCTAATCGTGTTTTTACTTAAATGAACTATTTCCAAATTATTGTAGATATAGCCAAAACTAGTGTCTCCTATTATAGTGGAATTTCTTTTACTTTCATGTTTAGTTTTGTAAATTTAACAATAATTATTTCCCTATATTTCCGATTATTTTTCGACAAATAATTTTATTTTCTTCGTGTATCATTTTATACGAACTATTTATGCATGATATCGAGGATAGGATTTATCAAACAAATACATTGAAAAATTCATTCTATTTAATGATTTCATATCTATCCTTGTACCTACGCTGTTCCTAATTTACATCAACGACCTCCCCGAAGTCATCAGTTCTCAACTCGGTATCTATGCTGATGACACAACCATTTACTCCTGTCCTAATAGCAAGTACGATCGGTTCGATATGGTCAAATTGGCAGCTAATCTAAAAAAATTAAAAAAAACTACAGTCCGTTGTTAACTGGGGCAAGAAATGGCTTGGTAATTTAACGCCTCCAAAACTAAACTGCTTTCTTTTAATCATCTGAGAGAACTATTTTTATCTTCCATAACCACATCCGATGCTAATCCCCAAGAAGATGACTTATTACGCCTTCTCTGACTGCATGAAGTGGAAACAGTATATTGAAGTGGAAAGAGTATATTGAATCCATTGTTAGGTTTGCTATTAGAAAAGTTGGTTTTCTGTTTCGTGCAAGAAAATTTTCTCGACAGAATTTGTCTTGCATATTTATAAGTCTAACATTCGTCCTTTCTTTGAATATTGCTGCCACATACAATCTTATGGTCCTGCTATATATTTAGAGATTCATGATAAAATCCAAAGACGGATGCTATTGATTCTTACCAGTTCTGACCAGTTCTATAAGGTCAAATAGACAACTGAACTAAAAAAAATGACCTATATTTTGTTGCTACCTGGGACAATGAATGTCTTGTTAATTGTAATGCCCCATGTTCTCTATTAATCGTCTTAGAGAATACTTTCTGCCTTTCACCAGCATGGCTGATGCTAACCTCCAGGAGAGTCACTCGTTCCTGTGGATTCTTTATATCAAATTGATTGCTAGGTCTGCTGCTAGGAAAATTGGTTCGGTGTCGTGGCAAACAATTTTTTCTCGCCAGAATCTATCTTACATATCTACAACTCTGCCATTCGTCCATGCTTAGAATATTGCTCCCGCTATATGTTTAGAGATCCTTGATAAAATCCAACCAAGAATATGCAATGTTACTGATCCTGACCTGGTATTTCGACTTCAGTCACTTTCACACCGCCATAACGTGGCTTTTCTGTACCTTTTCTATAAATTCTTCCATGGTAGTTGTTCTGTTGAACTCTCCTCTATGGTACCTAGACTTTATGAATTTAAGCGCATTTGTAGATTGGTAGCAAGATCTTACCATTTTACATTCCAAATGCTAACAGTTTCTTTTCTCGCACTTCTCACTTGTGGAACTCTCTTCCAGATTCTTGCTTTCCAGTCAAGTTTGATCTTCAAAAACTTAATATCAATACTTATCTTCTGTCCTCTTAAATTCTGTTTTCTACTGCTTCTTAATAATGTTTTTCTTATATTCTCTCACGCTCAACAACCCTTGCGTGTTTGCGGCTTTATTACTAATGCATGTAGGCTTCTGATAATCAAACATGGAACACCTGTAAATATTTTCTCTATTCTTTTTATGCTCTCCGAATACAGGACACGAGGAACAGGAGGTTAGTGTTAAAAAGATTACGCTATGTTATATAAATGAAAAAGAGGTAGCAGTAAATGTAGATTATGAGTATAAAGATTTTATATACCTATACTACTTGAAGAGCATAAAATTTAAGTGCATCCACACAGGAGTTTGTTCCACAAAGTAGCTGTTTTGGGTAAGAAGCTGTCTGAGTGGAACGTTCTGCTAAAGGGGGAAATGAGGGTGATTTGATCCCGTGGAAGTAGTACTGTGAGTCCTAGCGATAATGGTTTGAACTAGTGGCGCTGAAGAATGTAGCTCATTTGAGCATTTATCTTGGGAATAGCGATAGAAAAGCAAAAGGCTTGTGCTATTGCACCTGTAAGAAAGAATTTCAGCCGACTGCTCGGTTCAAATATTTTGAACTCTATCAAAGCTGTAAAGTGAGGACTAAGTAGCCGCAGCCCAAATATGGCAACACTACTCCATTTTTGTCATCGCTCCAACAGGAGGCAGTAAATGAAAGCAAGAAGAAAGGACAAAACATCAATTATATGGCGACAAAAGCAAAAGGAACAAGCGAAGATACGAACTACGAATTGGGAACACAAAATTAATCAAGTACAAAAATTAAAATGTCTTTGGAGTGTTTTAACGGAATTTTCGACAGATCCCTTTCAAAAGCTAAGCATAGTATTAAGAAACAGGAAAATTTCATTAAAAGCAGAAGCAAAGAATACTTAACTGTTATGTAATATCGGTCCACCAATATAGCAATGAATGCTGGATAATCTCCTCACAGATGAAGAAGAGACTTGAAGCAAGAGGAAGAAAGAAAAGAGTATTGTACTAATATGTAATATCAGTCTTCTTACATGGTAGTGAATGCTGGACAATCTCCCCAGAGGTGAAGAAGCGACTTGAAGCAAGAGAAACAAAGAAAATAGTACTGAAGTGTTATATAATATCAATCCTCCTATATGGCTGAGAATGCTTTACAATCTCCTCACAGATGAAGAAGAGACTTGAAGCAAGAGAAACAAAGAAAAGAGTACTGAATTGTTATGTAATATCAGTCCTCCTATATGGCAGTGAATGCTAGACAATCTCCTCACAGATGAAGAAGGGACTTGAAGCAAGAGAAACAAAGAAAAGAGTACTGAACTGTTATGTAATATCAGTCCTCCTATATGGCAGTAAATGCTGGACAATCTCCTCCCAGATGAAGAGGAGACTTGAAGCAAGAGAAACAAAGAAAAGACTACTGAACTGTTATGTAATATCAGTCCTCCTAAATGGCAATGGATGTTGGACAATCTTCTCACGGATGAAGAAGGGACTTGAAACAAGAGAAACTAAGAAGTGTGTTCTGAAATCTTATTTAATATCAATCCTTCTATATGGTAGTGAATGCTGGACAATCTCCTCATAAATGAAGAAGAGCCTTCAAACAATAGAAACAAAGGAAATAGTACTGAACTGTTATGTAATATCAGTCCTCCGATATGGCAGTGAATGCTAGACAATTTCCTCACAGATGAAGAAGTGACTTGAAGCAAGAGAAACAAAAGAAAGAACATTAAACTCTTATGAAATATCAGTCCTCCTATATGGTAGTGGATGCTGAACATTCTCCTCACGGATGAAGAAGTCACTTGACGCAACAGAAACAAAGAAAAGTGTACTGAACTGTTATGTAATATCAGTCCTCCTATATGGCAGTGAATGCTGGACAGTCTCCTCAAAGATGAAGAACTGACTTGAGGCAAAAGAAATGCGGTTCTACCGAAGGATGCTGAGAATACCATGGACTAAATATGTGAGCAACAACAAAGTTTTAGAGAAAATGGAAATAAAATTAGAATCAGAAAGAGGCAATTGAAATTTATGCAGCGCATAATGAAGAAAGAAGACTTGGAAAATTTAACACTCTCGGGATATATTGAAAGTAAGAAAGACGGGGAAAAGGAGCAAATAACCTACCTAAACAACTTCTGTAAACAGTTGGCAGAACAGGGAGTGGGAAAGATGACAATAAAACAAAATTGGTAAGAGCTACAAGAGCAAGATGTGGAGAATCATGATCGCCCACTTCCTGAAGGATTACGACATGAAACTTTCTGGAACGATAGGGGTCAGCTGACTAATTTCCCAGAATCTTGAATTCCACATAAAGTCCGAAACGAACTGGAGATACTTGTAAGAATATTGGAAGTTTTTATTAAAATTTAATTACAGAAATATATTAAAGTTTATTTGTCTAATTGGGAATCGATGTTAAGTTGTTTTTAGGTAATTTAATATTACATGAAATTTATATAATTCATTTCGAATAAATACAAAGTTGAAAGAGTTCCTTTCAAAATTCTACGATGTCTTATTTTTAGATATTTAACACTGAACTAAAAATGGCTGCGTGAAACTGCAAATACAGGAACCCATTATTAAATTTCCAAAATTTGTTTAAAATGCGTCCTAAGAAATTTTAGTCTTTAACATTTAAAACCTATCACTTTGTTGCAACATCATTTAAAACCGAATAAATAATTCGACTTCATCCTTGTGCACCACCATATGACTCTTCAATCTACATGTCGATTCACATACTTCCCTGCAGATCGCACATGTAGTATCACCGGGTCGTGGAGGAAACATACAACGTATATACATATATATATACATATACATTAGTGCATTTATTTGCATGCTCGCAGTCGAACGTATTCAAACGAAAATTAATTTATTTGCATTCATATTAACATACACATTTACTAATACCACTCTTTTAACACCCTGTGTAGGCGCATGCACATGCAGACGATCACATTTAAAACCAATTAAATTCTTAAATTGTATCCTTTCGAATTTTGATTCCTCAAAGAAACGCATAAAATTAGTTCTTTTACTCATATACAAGTAACTGTTTGTATACACCTCCAATATTTATTTCTCTCTCTCTCTCTCTCTCTCTCTATATATATATATATATATATATATATATATATATATATATATATATATATATATCGAACGATTTCTTTATAAAAGCATTTACTTTGTCTCTTTGTATGACATTATCTTTTTTTTTTATTTGTAAGTAAGGTAAGTGTGCTGTTCCTTAATGAGTGACTACTTGGAGTGAGTATTCGCAAAAATAAATTTCTGGTGTGGAAACTATGTTTTAAAGCATGTTGTTCATTTTGCGTTGTTTTGAACAATTGAAAAGATCATCTGTCATTTCTATTCGCCATTTCAATACTGACCCCGGATAGATTTGTTATTGTTCTTTAGACAATCTGAGCTATTCTGTTTTTAATACTAATGAAAAAAGTCAGGTTTAGGGTTTGATGAAACCGGAAGTACGACAATGAGGATTTCTTTAAAAAAAAAAAAAAACGTTTATATTTTCATTTTGTATGCTTGTTTTCTCTACCATTAGGTTTTTTTTTGCTTCCAAGGTTTGCTATCATAACTGAAGGCAATTTAGACATTATAGAGAAAATTATAATTTCTCTGAACAGTCAAATGAACTTTTAAATACACTCTCGTACAAAAGCTTTGAGGAAACTACATAAAAGGATTATAAACTTTTATTTTATTTATTAAGGAGTTAAGATTGTTTAGCAGTAAACTGTCATCAGTAGTACCTGTGGACCATGAGGATTGGAAAATAAGATGTTGCGTTTTCGTATGCGCCGTGTAACAGAAGTTAAACAGTTTAAGCAGCTTGAAGCTGAAAAAGGGTCATGTAAAACTATTTTGCTAATAAAGGATCTGAGAAAATAATGTCATAATAATAAATAATAATGGTAATTGTTCCATCTTATTAATATGAGTGTAAGTTGCTTTGGCAAGTGATTATAGTTTAACAATACCATGCTTTTTTAACACTAAAATAATGGCTAAACGTTCAGCTGGAACAAAGATGACTTTGAAGGGGAAAAATGACTAAACTAGAGATAACCAGGCCGCTGGGGATTTCCAGAAACAGGGTTCAAATCATGCAAAAGATGTTTATTACTCCTGGAAGTGTTTTACAAGCAAAGTAAACCAGAAGACCACAAAGGTTCAACAAGTGTTATGAAATAAATATTGTCAGAATCTTGGCAAGTAATCAGAAATTAACAGTCAGACAAGTGACGAGTAAATGCTGTCTTGACACGAAGGTTTCAGTTGATACTGTATGTAGAATATTACGAATGAAAAATTAAACTTGTGTATCGCATAAAAAAAAAAAGAAAAGATTGTTTAGCAGTATGCTTTTATTAGTAGTGTATGTGGGCCATGACGCTTGGAAAATAAGTCGTTGCATTTTTATAGGTAACAGAAGATTTAAGTAGTTCAAAGTAGTGCGAAGAAAATCAGAAGAGGTTAGGCAAGAGAAAAGAATGAAATATTGTGAGAGTCTTGGTAAGTAATCCAAAATTAACAGCCAGACAAGTGAGGGGTGAATGCATTCTTAACATTGAGTACAAGTAGTCAAAAGAACATTTAACATGGGATGCTGAAAAGTGACCAAAAGTAATTTTTAGTGTTGATTCCATTCTAATCCAAGAGAATATGCAAAAACACCAATGGCAGAAAGAAATTATGGAAGATACAACACAAAGACGATAACATTTACTGGGGGACACTTAATGATATCTGAGGGTTAAAAATTAGTTCAAAACCTACAAATTCATTTTATTCTTGCAAGTAAGAACTTTAACATATGTAATTTTGAAAACGAATTGAATTCTACTCTATTTTTCTATAAGATCACATATTTATTGTACTCCATCCGTATACAAAAATCATCATCTTCACCAATATTCAATTTCCCAAGTTTAATTCTTGAGAATAAACTGTAATTTCTAAACTTTGCAACCAATTCCAGGTATATGCTTGCACCTCTTCATCATTATTTTACGCTTCGATGAAACATTGCCTCGCGTATGAAGTATTGCCTCCAGATTAATCTTCAAGGGTAAAATATGTATGTTGAAGGTGCATTTTAAATTCAGCCATAACTTACATCTAATTAAAAGGAAGCAATAGGCACAAGTATTAAACATTTGAGCAAACTTTAAAGACGCTTATAACATTTCTCTAACATTATTTAACGGTTAACTTTGAGTACTTAAATCAATGCATTTTTGAGAGGTTGGAATTTTTTCTTTACTGCCACATAAAAGTCTAGTAGTGATAATACCTTTGAAGCGTTTAAAAATAATTTATAAAGATGGTTTTGCTCCTTGAGGCATTCCCTTCAATTAGTTACCTTTTTCAAACCAATCCTAGGGTTCCAACTACAACAGGGATTGTTGATGTTCCCAAATAAGAGCTTTCATTATTTTATTAAAAGCGTTCTTCCATCTTGTTGATACATTTTATCATAAATTATATTATTAATAATATTAAAAAATTAAAGAGATTAATCTTTTCGAAAAATGTACTAAGGCAGGTCATTATGGTGTGTTGAGTGTTGCTAGCGTTACATAGACAAAAGTTCTCCTAGTGTAAAAAATTTCAGAAAAAAGGAAGTTCCATTTTTTAGTAAAATAAATTCCTTGGTTTTGCTATGTTACAAATTTGTGTTCCGTTCCCTTACCAATTTTTTGTAATATATATTAAACAATGTCAATGTAGAAAAGATGCCACAGAAGTGTTCATTTTAGGAAAGCATCCTGTTAGATGGTCTATTGATTCATTATTAATATTATTATTATCGAAAGCTATATCTTTATCTCCGATTTCTTAAAAATTATTTTAGTCATGGTACATGGAATCGACCCAATTTGTTATTATTATTATTATTATTATTATTATTATTATTATTATTGTTGTTGTTGTTATTATTATTATTATATTTTTATTTTCATTTCATTCGATTTCTGGGACACACGCAGGGACCTAAGGTTAGAAATGGCATCATGACACTATCCACTGACAATAAAAATTTCTGTATGTCTCTTACATAGATAAAGCCCTTCGTAAAGTGTTGGCTGTACTTGCCAGAACAATTTTTTTTATTTTCTTTGATTTCCTTGAGGGACCTATGGACTTCCAGGAATCCCTTCAATTAGGCTGTACTGCAATTTTTTCCAACCAGTCCTAGGGCTCCAATTTTCAACCTAGGGATTGTTGATGTTCCCCCATATGCCACATTTTCGAGATTTCTATTTCAAGGTCCTTGTATTTTGACAGCTTTTTGAATATCTTCAAAGATACATTGCAGTCAGCAGGGACTGCCATATCAATAAGGAGGCACCGTTTTTGTTTGTGGTCTTTAATAACTATTATTATTATTATTATTATTATTATTATTATTATTATTATTTGACCTCAGTTCTCTAGATGGGATCCGGGAGGAAATTAGTACACAACAGAAATCAAAGGGAATAAAACAATAATCATAATAATAATATCAAAATACAAGGATTTATTTTAGTTGGAAAAGGTTCCGATAGACTCATTGAAGAGATTACTGATTACCCCATGCCTTAAAGAAATACCAAAGATCATAAAAACAGAATGTGCTTTCTTATTGACAATGGCAGTCCCTTCAGATTGTAGGGTTTGTAGATTGTTTCTATTAGTGCGAGTGATATTCGATAGCGTCTGACACCAGTATTGTTCAACGGCGTTACTATAGTTGTATCTGCGATTACAAAGTCTCTACTACAACAAGCATTATGAAAGTGACAATGAGTATTCATTGACATTACAAAAGATATCCAAAAATATGCGCAAAAGATAATCTTTCAAAAACCTTATATATTGGATTTGGACTTTTTTTTACTTATTTCACCTTAAGCAAGGTGATAATGCCACCAACACGCAAGGGGATTGCTAAGTGTCATTCCTGATAGATAAGAATAAGAAACGGAGGATAAACTTCGTTAATGATCACAAACATTGGAAATAGAAGATTGGAAAAACGTTGCCCAGTCTGATGAGTCCCGGTTAATGCTGCGTTATTCGGATGGTATGGCCGGAATTTAGCATAAACAAAATCAAAGTAAGGATCCCTCCTACCTTGTATAAAAGATTTAAGCTAGTGGCGGTGTAATGGTATGGAGAATATTTACTTGGTATAAATTGAAACATTCTTACCAATAAAAGATTGTTTCAATTCTGGCCTACCACGTGTTTCAGTTTATGGTTGCATCTTCTAGTGGTCACTTCCAGCAGAATAACACAACATGTCACAAACATAAAATAGTGACAGATTGGTTCATGACACAGTAATTAATTTTTAGTTTTAAAATGACCTCCACAGTTACCAGATCTCAATCCTATAGTGCAGCGGTCTCCAAAATCTGACTGCTGACCATTTGTTACTTGATTGCGGACCATTTCTTCCTGGTCGCACAGAAAATTTTTTTTTTAAATTCCCATTTTATTGATTATCGCAGTCTTGTTTATTGTGTCTTGTTATACGCATAGCCGACACCGGCCCTTCTACCATCACCCACGATCCGCAGAAAAATTGGTTTTCATTATACCGGTCCGTGGCGCAAAACGGTTTTGGACCGCTGCTATAGTGCACCTTTGGTATGTAGTGGAAAGAAAGATTTGAATCCTAGATGTGCTTCCTACCATATAGAAGAATTAAGGGATGGTTTAATAACAAGGAGGACCTAAATTTCAAGAGTGCTTTCAAACTATATTCGAACCCCTGCCAAGAAGAACTGGTGCGATTCCAAGGGCAAAATGGTGTTCAGCTCGATACTAGACGAGTTTATCTAATAATGTAATCGTTGAGGGTATATTATTATGCCTTTCCATGAAGATACCGGCCACGTTCAACATTGCGCAATTTTGGTGATCGCACGAGAACCGATCATTCAACGCGATATGGCCGTAAGCCCATTATACCACACGCCCCTCCAAACTTTCAGTAGCTGACATTCCCAAGCGGTCACCCATCTAGGTGCTGAATCGAATCGACGTTGCTTAACTTCTGTGACTGTACGAGAACCGGTGCTTCAACGTGATATGGCTATAAGCCCATTATACCAACCGCATATCCAAGCTTTCGGCACCTGGTATTTCTAAGTGGTCACCCATATAGGTACTAAACAGACTCGACGTTGCTTAACTTCAGTGCCTATACGAGAGCCGTGTTTCAACGTGATATGGCAGTAAGCCCATTATCTCACATGCACATCCAAACTTTCAGCACCTGGTATTTCTACGCGGTCACCCATATAGGTACTGAAGAGACACGACGTTGCTTAACTTCATGGACTGTACAAGAACCGGTGTTTCAATGGGATATGGCTGTAATCCTATAATATCACCCGCACATCCAAACTTTCAGCACCTTGTATCTCCAAGTAGTCACCCATATAGGTACTGAAGAGACTCGACGTTGCTTAATTTCGGTGACTGTACGAGAAGCAATATTACAATGTGATACGGCCGTAAGCCCATTATACCACACGCATATCCAAGTTTTCAGCATCTAGTATTTCCAACTGGTCACCCAGTCTATGTACTGATGAAACTTCACGTTACTTAACTTCGATGACTGTACGAGAACCGATATTTCAACGGGATATGGCCGTAAGCCCATTATACCACACGCACACGCAAGCTTTCAGCAACAGATATTTCCTAGCGGTCACCCGTCTAGGTACTGAACCGAATCGACGTTGCTTAACTTAGGTGACTGTACGTTAACCGGTGTTTCAAGGTGATGCAGCCGTAAGATCCATATATATAAATACAATTTATTTTAAGCTCTTACTATATAAAGCATATTCAGCGCATACATTCTATACATTTAATCATTTCATTCCAAGCAAGATTATAATGCCAATAGCAAGCAGGTTACAGAAAGCGAAAAAGAATGAGAAGTACAGGGTGACCCCAAAAAACGGGAATTTTTGAAGTGCGTATTGCCAGATATGAGCAAGTGGCAACACTGCGAGACAGTGACCTTGAGCAAGTAAACATTTCGCCATTTAGAATTCAAGATGAAATTCACAGTATCCCAGCTGAGATGTTGCAGCAGTCAATGAGGAATCTCAACAGCAGATTTCAAGAATGCATTCGTACAGGAGGACGCCATCTACAGGACGTAATTTAAAAAAAATGAAAATTCCAATATTGTTTCTTAAATGGCATGTTTTAAGGTTTCAATTACTATGAATAAAATATTTTTCTTCCATCACTCTTGGTTTTATTGGATTGTTAAAAAGTTCTCGTTTTCTTGGGTCACCCTGTATTTAGTGAGAAGTAAAAAAAAAAATGATGATACTGGAAAAGGATTGAGGAAGATAGAATATGTCAATTGACGCTGCATTTAAATGCAACGTCAATTGACATGCGTGATTGAAAGCGTATATGTATGTATCTGACTGAACATATATAGTAATAAGAGTTAATAAAGAAAGGTAATAAAAAGAAAATTTTGAATTATACCAACAGAAGTGATGATAACATTGAAGGTCATCAGATAATAATAAAGGAAGTTAAGATAATAAATCTCGTTGAAAATGATTTTTATTTATCTTAATTTTTTTCCATGGTTTTTATTATCTATTTAATTCTATTTTCTAATCCTTTTGCGCCTAAATTGGATAATATGTAATCCAACATTGAAAAATAATCGCGATTCTATAATACAGGTTTAGATCATGCTGCCATATATAAATGTCTATAAATTTCTGAGGTAAGTTAAAATAATGTGTATCGTTGAAACTGTTCTCACATTATATTACCTTTGGTCATTTTTTTAATATTGAAGTCAAATTATTTTTCAGTTTTTTAATGTTTTTTTTTTTATCTCGCATAATCTTCACATCCATTAATACTCTACAGAAAGGTGTGAATCCTCTTCTTCTCCCTCCAGCTATAGGTAAATAGCAGGACAAATCGGGTTCTATAGTCTTGCATGGCAACTGGTCTACCACAGAAAGAAATGGCAACCTGCTGTGGGAAAAAAAACCCTGCCTCGTCAGTTATGTATCGAAAGATATATGATCGCCTAAGCGTGTATTACGCATGGCACATATCTAACTGAATCTTCACATCAAACTGATTTAGCCATCCTAGAAACCAGAAGAAAATGAGTCTCCATGAAAATGCCTTCAATCTATTACTTTTGGGCATTGTTTTCAATATTACATTTAATTTCACTTTTCGATTTTTACAGCTTTTCATCTCAATTAAATAAACTTTATTCGAAACTTTTCACACATTTAGACATCCTATAAACCAAGACTGCATCATATATCTTTCCATAAAGTGTTATCATTTCAGTAATGAAAAGAATTTTAAAAAATGACTCTCCTTGAAAAATGATTTCTCCTTATATCAAAATTGGTCTATGTTTTCAATGGTACAGACAAATAAACTTTGTAAATGTTTTAGTTTTACCTCAGTTTTAATTTTAACAGATTTACATAACAATGAAAACCAGGATTATAAGATTATAAGATCATCTGACATACCTTTCTGCTACCTTAGATCCCATTATAGCAATAATCTGTTCATTTTTATTTATTTTTATTTCAGGATTATCATTATTGTAGTCAATCCCACTCTTTATAGTGTTTCATTTAAAGTTCATTATCTTTATGGAAACATTGAAATTCTTTAGACATGTTTTTTCATAAAGTGTTACTATTATAATAATGAAGATAATTTAAGAAAATAAGTTTACTTGAAAATATTTTCTCTTTACGTTAAATTAATCAATGTTTTCAATTTTGGCCGTTTTTTTTTTGTTTAATATTGTTGTTAATTTCTCTTACCCAATTTTACAGTTTTGCTTCTCAGTGTCATAATATTTATTCAAATTTTATAAATTACGATATATTCTAGAATCTAGTTTTAGATAATCACCTTTCTATGAAGTTATATTATGACACTAATAAAGAAAATTGAGATAATGTGCACCTTTGAAAAAGATTCTAATGTTTATGTTAATTTTAGTTCGAGTTTTTATTATTACAATCATTTTAATTTTTTTTAAACTGCAAACATGCTTTTGACTATTATGCATGTTTTTCGCGTATTTTGTATCCACCATTATCATTTCTCTCTAACGAATACAAAATTTCTATTACCTGTGTGTACGTTACGAGCCTGCAATTGATTGTAGCTTTTTACAAATTTACATATATACATTTCCTATATATCCTCAAGTTCGAGTTATTAAGTTTTCTACAAAATTTAACAAACGTACCCACAAAATAAATGTATCAAATGTTTTTTTGTTTTTTTCTCTTGGAACCATTGCTCCTGAATACTGGCTCGGTATTTTTTTTTTAAAAAAAGAGTTAATCTAGTGGATACCCTGTAGTGTAATAGTTTACGTCTCCAAATGAAAATACTGAGAGTTCGAATTCCGGTGGAATTAGTTACATTCACTTACAGGTAGATACCCTTAGGAATGGTATGAATCCATTCCTTCTCCTATATCCATGGATAAATATCAAAACAGACTATGCACTATAGCCTGGGTTGGAATCCCATCTCGGAGAAGAACTCTGAATTCAAACCAGGTTACGATTCGCCAGGTTCACTTCCCTAAAACGCACCACAGGCTGCAGTATATGTATTGACCCTACGACCCTAAAGGTCAACGGGAGTCATGATCGAATCTGGGATATAAAATAATCTGAGAAGAAAAAGTATTTATAATTAAAATTACTAGGCGTTATGTGTTGATTTAAATTTCTTGTTTTATATTTTTGTCACATTTATTAGTAACAAATTTATTTTCATCGTTATTTTTTTGTAAATATTGTATTGTTGGTTGAAATATTTTCATGATCTTGTAAATATGAAATTGTTCTTTCAAATAAACAAACAAATAAATAATATTTGATATTTTTCTTGTCAATTCTCGATAAGATAAAATGATGTTCCATACATTAGGGTTTTTTTTAATAAATTCACCTCAAGCAAACCGACAATGCCAGCATGTCTCAAGTTACTGGAAATGAAAGAGAAGGAAAAAAAAACTTAGAAAAAAATCAGAAATCCAGTAATACAATAAATTTCAGAGTTTAGGCGGAGGTAATAGAAAAAAGAATTTGGAAGGAATCGGAAACTTACTCCTAAACAGAAATGAGAGATAAGATTCTACTCCTGTTAAAAAAGAGAGGGGATGAGAATGAAACGAACGACAGGTGAACCTAATGTTCTAAAAATAGCATTATAAATAGAAAATGACGAGGGAGTATACATAAATAACAGTGTCAAGGGAAAAACTCTCCCATAGAATGCAGTAAAGCCACTAAGACAGAAGGGGTTACAAGGTGTAGAAGCATTAGAAAACAGAAACATTACTAATGACCGAGTACAAAAGAAGTGTAATTAGGTGGATATTAGAAAGTCATTGCATTTCAATTTTTACAGATTAAAGTTGGAAACCGGAAAGGGAGTTCCACAAGTTAGAAGGGCAAGACAGCATGGAGGCGGAGGCGAGTTCCACAAGTAAGGCAATAAAGCCACTGAGACTCAAGGAGATTACAGGGTGTAAA